GTGGGCTGCCTTTGTGTGTGCCTGTGTGCGCATGGGCCTGTGTTTCTATAGGTCCCCTCCGTGCGACTCTGCCGGCGGGCGGGTGGTTGTGCCCGTACAGACCCGTCCCTTCTGGCTCATGGGGGAAGTGCATCTGGGGCTGCGTGTGGAAATGCACAGAGCCGGTGCTCATCTGGGATCACGTGTGTCTGCAGCAGGGGTGTGGGGGAGGAGGGCGATGCCTGTCGATCTCATTCTGCTCCAGGGGTTTGCCCGCCTGCACAACAGCCTGCCAGTGTGTTCGCCCAGAGCACAGCCGCGGTGTCGCCCTCGGATAGAGACCGCAAGGGCCAGCAGTGCCCAGAGGCGACGGGTGCCTGTGGGGGGAGGGGATGCAGGGAAGGCCACCCAGAGGAACAGGGAGGGACACCCCACATAGCAATTAACATTGTGGTGGGGGCACAGGGAGGGGTGCACGGGGCTGTCCCGAGGGGATGCAGGACCCAGGGCAGCCCCTTCCCCTTCAGGAGGCTCTGCCCCAGCTGTGCCCCCACACCACCCCTTCCCTAAGCTCCTCCCCCTCTCAGTCCCCCAACCTTGCCCCCTCCACCAAGCAATGCAGCCTGGGAGACTACAGGGGCCTGGGACAGCAGCAGCCGGAACTGCCCCCCCTCATCACAGGGGCAGTGGGAGCTGGTGCGGCCTGGCAGACTGCTCCGCCCCATCACGCTGCCCTCGCAGCCAATGCGCTTCACTTCACCGCTGCAGCGGGCTGGGAGGGAGCTGGTGGGGGGCAAAGGAGGAGCAGGCTGCTCCAGAATCCGCTGCCTGCGTGGTGAGTATGTGTGGGGGGGCCCTGCTGTTACTGTGCCAGGCTCCCATAGCCCCCTCCTCTTCACCCAGGTCCCCGCCACCTATAAGATGGTTGGGGTGGCCGCTGCGGGGCCCCCAAAAGTGTGGAGCACCCGAGTGCTACCATGCATCACCTATGTCAACGTCCATCACGGGGGTTCCCTGCAAACCAAAGTTCGTGTGCACATGGCTTTCCCCTGCTCAGCTTTTTCAGAGACTACACACAGGTCCCCACTCACAAGTAATGACAAGAAAGCAACCCTCTGAAGACCTGGTCTCCCTCAGCAAATGCATGTCCAGCCCAAATTGCAGCCGCCTTGCTAGGTGCTTCACCGACGTGACCCTGCTGATACTCCTCACCCGTACCCTGCAGCCCCCCTGCAAGTCCAGCGCTGGGGTCCCTAATGCACACAGCTCGGCCAATTCTTTGCATCTCTCTTCACAGCTGAGGATGAGTCCCAAATCTGAGCTTTTTTTTTTTTTAGGTGACAAATCTGAGGAACTGTCCCAGATTGTGGTGTCATTAGAGAAGGTTTTGGAACAAATTGATACATTTCATAGTAACAAGTCACCGGATGGCATTCACCCAAGAGTTCTGAATGAACTCAAATGTGAAATTGTACAACTACTAGAAGCCTGCGCCCTGAACCCCCTCTCACTGGCTGCTTTTGCTATTTTGGAATTTATTTCAAAATAACGGGCTTGCTGTGTAGACGCTCAATATGTTATTTCGGAATAATGTCTGCTATTCCACAATAATGCTGCTGTGTAGGCTTATCCCAACGGGGGATATGACAGAGATCTATCCAAGCATGACTGGTATGAAGAAGGTAAACAAGGAAAAAGATTTACTTGGTCCCACTCAACCACAAGTGCTCAAAACCTGATTTTTAAAAAGGAAAGCTGTGATTCTCACTTACTAACATGACTCCAGGAGCACTGGCTTGAAAAAGGTCACTCAAAGTCATGAGACACAATGAAACCAAGTCGGCAGAAACTTGGAATTTCTGATTCATAACATCATCTCATCATTTCTAAATTTCCCATGAAACAGAAACCCTCCCTCCCTCCCTTTTTTTTTGTTTGGAAAATTTTGAAATTTCCTTTCAAATTTGGGAAATTTTGTTTTGCAATTCTGAAAGGATAACTTTTCATTTTCAAAAACAAAATTTGTGTGCATGGAAATTCCTGTTACAATTGACCCATTTTCCAGGAATTTGGCTTTTAATGAAAACAGCATTTTTCTTGGGGGAAAAAAATATGTGATGAAAATTATCCAACCCGCACCATCAGATCACCAGAGATGATATCACACTGAGCTGGCTTAGCCAACCTCCCCGAGGTGGAATGAGTCACACGACAGGAGCATGTTGCTAGAAACCAGGCTGGGCCGAGGGGAGGGGAGGAAGTATACAACGGTAGCCGGACTGTGGACAGAAGGTCTATTCAGAGACCAGCTGAGGGATAAACCTCAGCTGAAGGACCAAGCTAGGAGGGCTACAAAGGATTGTGAGGTTCTACTTGAACTGACGGGATTTTTTTTAAAGAATCTAGATGCACAGGATCTTGAGAAGTCATCTAGTCCAGCCTCCAAAGGCAGGGCCAAGAAAACATAGACCATCCCTGACAGGTGTTTATCTAGCCCTCTCTTACACACCTCCAATGATGGGAACTCCACAACCTCCTTTAGAAGTCAATGCTTACCTATCCATCTTTAGCAAGTTTTCCCTAATTTTAACCTAAGTTTGTATTGCTGCAGATCAATTGCTGCAGTTCTCATGTCCCTGCTCAGCCTTCTCTTCTCCAGACTAAACACAATTCTTTCAGTCTTTCCTCGTAGGTCAGGTTTGCTAGACCTTTTATCCATTTCATTACTCTCCTCTGGACTCTCTCCAGTTTGTTCACATTTTTTCTGAAGTGTGGTTTTGACACTATGTGGTTTTTTCCCCCCTCTGAGAAATACCAAGGTCTTGAAACGACAACTATTTGCAGAAGAGGCTTTGACGGATTCCCTGATCTGAAAGAAAAAAGAAAAAAAAGGTGAGTGGGAGGCAAAAGTTTCAAAATGGTTGAAGTGTGTCCTGGTTTTTTTTTAAAATTTTTTTAACGAAAAGCATTTTGCAAAGACATTTTGTTTCAAAAGTTAATTGACGCTTAAAAAAGGCTAAATAAAAAAGGGGCCCAAACGGGAGCAAAATGTTTCAAAATTGCAGAAACAAAATGGTTTTGGTCAAAAGGAATGTTCTGTGTGTGATGATTTTTGACACTTGGACCCCTTGGCCAGGTTTGGGAGATGGGAAAAAAAAAATCTTGGAAATGACTCAAGTTCTTGTGGGATGGGAAAATTGTTTCCTGCCCATCTCTAGCTTGGAGGAAGGGGAAGCCCTGAGAAAGGACTGAAAATATCGGAGCCTGGAAAGATGCCCTTAGAAAGGGAAAGGGTTAACTGAAACTGGGGCTAACTGAAGAGAGCTGGAAAGTTGGCGTGTAACTACGTGGAGGATAGCCCACCCAGGATGGGATTGGTGG